AATTAATACACGAGGTCTCACCAAACCTCCTCCTGTCTATCACGGGTCACGCCAGTCGGCTGACACCGAGCCTATATTCCGATAGTTACGCACAGTGATTCTCAGCTTCGATCCTTTATCCTCTTCGATCGATCAAATTTCTTTCTTGTTGCGAACAAGCGTAATTTGATCATGGCGCAACAGTAATTATCAACTAGCTCTTAAATAGAATTAATAAAAATAAATAAATAAATAGTAAGCACACAAATAGTATAATATGCTTCGCAAAAGCATTTTGATATTTTATAACGTAAACGAGAAGCAGAGACGTGACTGATAAATAATGTATCTTATATAACAATCGTTAGGAGTCGAATAAAAATGCTCTTGTTGTAATTTACTGTTTGCACTTAAAAACATTAGAATGCGGTATTATAACATCTGTCTATCTATGCAGAATTTGAGCGTGTTGCTCAAGCATTTCCCACGCTCGCGCGGTAACAGCTTATATATAAAGTTAATTGTAAATGAACTGAAACTTGTATCGCCCCCATTTAATTACACCTCGTTAAAAATCCCTTGGAGTCAATAAAAATCCGCGGCTCGCGGAAAAGTCCGCGACGCGGGAAATAACGATGCGTCTGAAAAGAGGCGGCGGGCATTTCTTAACTCACGCGGAATCATCCTCAGCCGAGGGAAATGCGATAATTAGAGATACCCTGTAGATACAAATGGTGCTATGCGATTTCTCACAAGTAGATAAGGAATTTTATGTGTACGCTAATGGGCGTAGGAAACATCTCTCACCATATAATCGTGCAAGGGCGATTTACCGTGCGCCCATAATGAGCTATGATTCTCTACCTGTAATGCAACTCTCGTTACACGCAACAGCGTGCGTAGGGTACGCTGCTATTCGTCGATACTAAAAGTAACATTAGGCTCTTATCATTCCGTTACGTCGTCAATGAGGCGCGTAATACGAACAACGTATAGTTGCTACAACTCTTGCCGAAGCAATTGATATTAAAGTTAGTCTTCTGATTGAGTCAATGTTAAACGTTAAATATTTGAAGACAATAGGGGCAATGTGAGCCGTCGCCAGAACTTCGGTGAGGAAACAACTTATATACAATTGCAAGATGATATTCATAAAAATTGCCAGATACGGTTAACAAATCTTGATGTTGTAAATTTTTAGAATTGAAGATTCAAGTGAGGAGTAAAAAAACTATGTTATCAAAGTAGGTTATTGCTGGTCTATGTAGGTGTGTAGATCTGCTAAGTAAGTATAAAGTGCAAAGTGTCAAAATGGTACCAAAATTTCGACTCGGGAAAACCTTCCGAAATGACGAGTTTTCGAGAACTAATAGGCCTCATTATTCCTCGAGCCGGGACGATTTTACGGTAGCTCCCGCCGGCATCGCGACGACAGTCATGATCGCGCGATTTGCGAGCGAGTTATGACGCGGAATGGTAGATATGACGGCAATATCAATGAATTGGCGGTGACACCCGGCGGTATCCGTCACCTTGGTTAAGGATAGGGTGTTAAAATGACGGATAAGCAGCGCGATTTGCCGCCACAAACGGCCGTTCGCACGCCAGTCGTTGAAACAATTATATTAGCGAACGACATACACAACGGGATCCCCCGGCTGTATGCCGAGTAATGGCCTTTCGTTTACCGGCCGATCACCGCGCGCCGAGGATTTCGCAAAATCGTCCACCATAATGGTATCCTAATGCGCGAAGCATGTTCCGATGTCTCTGCAATCGGAGCAGAGAAACCGAAGCGGGAAGATGTCGCGTGGAATTTTCGTGCGAAAGGTTGAAAAAAATTCCAACGGCCCTTAATCCGCATTCTCCGGCACACTTGGCGTTAATGCGACCGATCCCCGCGTCGGAATAAAACGGGATGGACGATATAAAATAACAATAAAAAATAATGTTATCTTAAAACCATTGATTTCTATGATTAGCTATTAACTTTTAGTACAGAGATCAATGGCGATTGGTGAAATCAGATTGTTAAAGCACGAAGGATCGAGCGACTCATCTTCGATTTAAATAAAAAAAAATACTCGTTTCACTCGCTTCGTTTCCGAATTTCTCAAAGCTACGCGCAATGTTACGGTAATCGAGTCGTTAATAGGAACCGAGAGCCTCGGGGCTCTCCACGAGCGAGCGTCTCGCGGGTTGAGCACCGCGATCGCGCGCCGCGTCTCGCTTGAACCATGGACCAGACAAAAGATCCTGGTTCTCACGACCACGCCCTCTCTCCTCGCCGCCTGTGCCCCTCGCCAGACGGCGGCGATGCCTTCACGAAGGTACCTATCCACCGGAAATTCCTGAAGCAACCACCACCGCCGCCGCCCGCTACCACGCCGCGTCGTGTACGTGCACACGGCCGGGAACGGAACAGAGCAGGACGCGCGGAACGGCGCGACCTCCGCCAGGTTCTCTCTCGTGACGCGGTAATAAATGGCCGGGGTTGTACGTATACGCGAGGGTGCCGGTATACAGCGAGAGCGGATAAAAGTGCGAATCTTTTCTTCTCCCCCGCCGCGCGCCGGACAGGGGCACCACCTCCTCGGCGACGCGACGTCGCGGAACGGTATCGAATTTCCGCGAGGCCCCACGGTCGTGAATCCTAGCGTGCGAATGCCGGCGACCCCTGACCCCGGCGGGCCACGGATCACGCGCGTGAAAAGTCCTGGCGGAGGATAGTGCACGGCGCCACGCCGTGCCGATGTGTGCCTTTTATCCTTGCGGTATGCAGGAGGAGAGTCGCGACGGCGTTATACTTTTCGCAAGTACGGCCGTTTCCCCGAGTCGAAATTTTGGCCCTATGTTGAACCTTTCAATCAATTATATAGTAGGACCTGAGACAGCAAGAGCCAGTTTCACGAACATCGGTTAACTGCTAACCGGAGGTTAATTGATTCTCTGTCTCTTCTTAGGCTCGGTTTCACCAACGTCGCTTAACTTTAAACTTAGTTTAATTCGTTCTTTGTCCCTTTTCCACTGTTACTCTAGAAAGAGAAAAACATGAAACGAACTAAGATTAAAGTTAAGCGATGTTTGGTGAAACCGGGTCTTAGATAACAAGAGAGAAAAAGATAGGGAGTTGACTGAACTCTGGCTAACACTTTACCGATGTCTGTGAAATTGGCCCTTAAAGAGGTCGAACTGCAAGTACAAAATTTACTCTTACTTTCAAACTGATAGTGTCGGAAGTTTCTACTTTTGCCAATTTAGCATTAAAGTAGGTCCTTTTAAGTAGGAGCTAAAGTAAATTTTTAGAATTAAAGATTCAAGGGAGGAGTAAAAATATAGTGTCATCAAAGTAGGTTACTGCTGGTATATGTAGGTGTATAGATCAGCCAAGTAAGTGTAAATTATCCTTAGAAGCGTCAAAATAGTACCATAATTTCGACTCGGGTTACTTTGCCTCTGTTTTAATTTTTATCGTCTGGAGTGTCATACATTACCAGAATATATTTCGGAAGATAACGGATGCTCTTGTCATCGGGGACGAGAGATACCATATTCCTGCACTGAGAAAAAAATCTGATAGATTCAACCGGTCGTCTGTCAGAAAATGAACGAATCAGAATTCCTTTAGGATTTACCAGATGTGTAGTGAAGTCTAGCAAACTTCTGGTTACGAAATATCTTTCATGGAATTCTGATAAATCCTAAAGGAATTCTGATACGTCCATTTTCTAACAGACGACTGGTTGAATCTATCCGAATTTTTTTTCAGTGTGGCATAAATTCGCGAAACACGACGAGGCAGCGCGTGACTGAACTGACAGCTGTCAACTAACCGAGCACTCGATGGAAGGAATCGGGACTTTCCTCCGCGAGTCGGGTAAAATTCGCGCGAGGAATTGATTTTCGGAATTGCCCTTTTATCGTAATCGACAGCAATTTTCTGAGCCCGTAAATCTCGCGGCGGACGCGGCTACCGACTCGAGCACCTCGTTCGAGAGAAACGCGGTCTCGGTCTCGTGGATACCGAAGGAATGCCCGGTGACTAACGATTTGGCCATCGAGCACTTGGCAGCTGGACGACAAATCGTCAGCTACCGTACGTTCAACTTAAACGTCGTTATTATTGGCGCACAGAGCGAGGCGATATTTGATAGCGAGGTTGCGCGAGCTTCGCGCCGACTTCACGTGGGAAGATGAAGATAATGATTCCCGATCTACACGTAGCGAAGTTTCTCCCAGTGCGCGAGCTGAAGAGATTTCCACGTTCGCTCGCTTCAAAAGCATCATGCTGCCTCGCCGAGATCCCAACGTGATTGCACGCGATAATGACGAGGTCCCTGTCCCCGCAATTAAACTCCTTCTCGCCCGATCTGTTTTCAAATACCACGCTCGTTGACTTCCCGGTGTTCTGCATACTCGTTGCTCGCGTGTAAACGTTCAACAGGTAGAAACAATAGCGTAAACCGGCGAAAAGCGCGTACGCGAAGGGTGAGAAGGGACAGACGTTAAAATGACGAAGCACGCGATTCCAGCGATCGCTGACGCACACACGTGAGTCACGATCGCACATAGCGATCATCGAGAACGCAGCGCGTTTGTTTCTTCGAATCGACTGATTTATTTCATCTTGATTAGCTTTTCCAACTGCAGTTCCAGTGGTTGTCTGCAATTTTTTTTTTCACCGCGCACGGAGAGATTTGTGATACAACGACGCTACGTGATTTAACTAACTCATTTTACTTGTAGCTTCAATGGCGTATTTGACACAGTGGTATCTCTCGTTCCCGATTCGAAGAGAGTTCTTGGTATCTTCCGAAATATACTCCAGTAATTAATACTCGGGACGATAAAAATAGAAGCGAAGTAAACGCCGTGCTTACGAAAAATATCAAAATCGGTATGCGATAATGTTGTATAAAATAAATAGGGAGCTCATTTATACACAAAATGGCAGACTCGCGGTCATTTTAGTAACTCGCGTCGATACGCGCCGTACGTCCTCGCAATCAGCATCAACTTACCGGTATGAGTCCTCTTGTGCGCCTTTAGGTGCGAGCTCTTCGTGTAAACCTTGTCGCAGCCGGCGACGTCGCATCTGTGAACCTTGCGTCTCTTCAGCGCGTCGCCGCATTCGCCGTCGACACCTAAATTGCCGCCGTTTCCGCCAACGCCGGCATTTCCTCTACCGCCCAAACCAATACCCGCCGCTAGCGTCGGACGTTTGTGGAACACGCTGTAATCAGACGGTCAAACCCGCAAAAGATTAAACACGGCGACGTTCGTGAATAAATAGGTATCTCGCGCCCTTAAAAAGTTGCCCTAGTCGAACTACACCTAACCTGGTATTTCTTTTTATTTTAACTGAAACAGATCCTCCATAAATAAATTTTATCAAACGATAAAAAGAATTGTTAGACTTTAGGCTGGCAGACGGTTTATTTATTGAAATCTGACGTTTCGACCATGCGGGTTGTGGACCTTTTTAGGGAATTTAATAATAAATTTTCATTTGACTCATTACATCTGTAAAATGTAAAAATTACATTTTTTAAAATTCATTTTATCAAATTACAAATTTGAAATTCATTTATAATCAAAAATATGTTAATTTTACGGAAAATTTATTTTCAATTATTTTGAGATTTACATTTATTTTGTGTTAAAATATTAAGAGAGTATTAGTGTGATCATATTTAACATATCCATATTATGTTAAATTACACAAAAATTTGTGTGGGCCGTTTGGGACGTGTGATATCTGTTTTTGACACAAATTTTTCAACTATGTATATATGTAATTATAATTATAATCTTGCCGAAATGAAGCATAATTCAGTATCTGCAGATTTGGAAAATGAAATGCAATCTAAAGAGAGGAGGGGAAGAGATATAAAACCAATCGTCTACGTAATAATGAATAAACTTGAGCAAATGAAACGATTTATCTCCACGCGGCGACATTCTAATTGCAATTTACCTTTAACAAACTTCCTGGGAATTTATCAATGTTTAGCAACAATTATGTAAGCCTTGTACCAGCCTTTCTCCTTTACATGAGCGAAGAACTCATTCAGTGACCAGTTTTTGATTGTGCGAGAGGCAGGTAAAGTCATTTGAAATGAAACGACCGGGGAGACGCGAAGTAATATCCCGTCAAGAAGAAATCAAACGCGATTCATAAAACGGCATAACGCAACGCACCACGAATTATGAAAGGATCGGACCTGGGATCGCGTATCTTTTTACGCCTGATTGCCGCCCGGCGCTCGTAAGTGTATACGCTATACATCCGAGATGATTACGATGAGGAAACGAGCGACAAAAAATTGCCCGTCCCAGCACCAGTCGCTACCAATATCGACTCCTATATGGACGAGACGTCTTCATCGGTCGTTTTGCGCCGCGTGTAGACTCGATTGCGCGACAGATGATCTCTCACTCGTACTTTTTCTCAGGTACATACACAGCCGGCCGCTGCGACAGCTAATCTTTCGTACCTTCAAAGTTGCAAGTTTATTCTAATTTAATGTCCAACTTTGACATTAAAATTTGATACCCCTTCGTTGGTTCACCGGTCAGACGTCCTCGTGAGAGTAAATTGGTAAAAGCATAATCTTAAAAGAAATATCGAAGAATTAAAAGTCAAGTTTCATTGAAAGATTGTTCGAATTTCACGATTATCATCGCAAACGCAAAATTATTTGCTCTAACAGTGAAAGTCCTAAATTGATATAATTTGAATTTCCACTTGCTTAATCGGTGTAAATTATTCTCTCGGATAATTGCTTTTTCATTCGAGCGGGTAGCAATTTACGACAGGTCAGTATTTGCAACGCGGAGTTTCGAGTCGGGTACCTTTCTCAGTAAGTACACTCGAAAAAGCGAGCGATTCGTCGAAAGCGCGCGCGCAGCGGCCGAATGGCGCTGGACCGATCGATGGAAACAAGAAAGGCGTATCAGACCGGCTCGATCAATCTCAACTTGACGCACTTGAATTCTGATAGGACTTGTTTTTCCACGAAACTCGTATACGTGGCGATAATATAGATAGACTCACGTTTTTTAGAACGTGCCGTGTTAGTATTGGTCAATTTGGCGCGGCGCAAAATATCATCCTCAAATCATTTACGAAGAAAACAATACGTGGCGAACAGTCACGAGAGATCATCTGAGAGAATTAAATACAAAAAAAAGTACGGGGAGGGGTATTGAATGCTAAATACAGCATTTAAAATAAGTAGAGATCGTTTATCGATTTTAATATGTGACTTCACTGACGTTGTTAATTACTGCTGGCGATATTGAATAATATTCTTATTAGTTGAAACTGTGTTATGTCCGAAAAGAAACCGGCGCGCAGAACAAGGTGGAAATCGAATTCACATTTTAGATTAAAATTATTGGGCTACCAACATCTTGCTCGGACCTAAAGGCTCTCTCGTTTATTCGATTGGCATCACAATGGTCCTATTTAACTTCATATTTAAACATAAAAAGTTGGAAAGCTTTTGAACGATAAATTCGGCTCTTTGATCCTTTCAGGGCGCTTATGTCAAAATTTTCTACACGTCCTTTGTACGCTTTACTCATTTTGTTATCAACGCGACGACTCGTTGACATCAAGTTATTTCATTTGACGGCGATATTTTATATATTGTAAATTCATAGAGGCGATAAATTACAGAGCGATCTGCAACGTCCGGGCCGCAATCGAGAATTCGAAGAGTTTCGCTGGCTCGATAAAACGTCGCCCGTACCCACTGACGCGTTCTTAGTCGCCGTATTTCATAGCTATGCGAGGGCTCTCCTCGTACCATTCGCGCAATAAACTAGAACGGCGTGTTGCGCGAACTGACATAAATCCGTTTCCAGCCGCGATAATCCGGCTCGCGTCTACCTCAATCCGCCCCTCGGAAAGTACCAACCGCGTGTCCTTTGTTCATTCGTGTTTCTCTCTCTGTCGACACATAAACGCCATGGAAAATTAATTATTCACTGTACTTCAATATGAACTAACAACTGTATATTGCCTCCTAACACACTTTTCTAACGATCTTGCCGTTACACGTCACAGTCCGTTAACCCTCGCGTTAGCGGCGAGAAGACCGCACGTTCGCGAGTCACGTGGCAGAGACGTATTGCAATGCGTTTTTAAACGAAAACCTATGGAACCAAGTTAAAACGGGCATGTGCGCGGTTGCTGCCTGCGGACGGTTTTCGATGTAAGATAGAAGTTAATGAAACTCCGCGTATCACAAATGCAATATCGCCCGCATGAAAGTTATTTCATAAACACATCTAATATAAACAAAATAAATGCAACTTGCTGCGTATCGAATGGCGCAATATTTTTCTTCCAATGCTCTCAATTTCCATCGAACGTAATTTATTTCTTCGTCATGCGTGGATTAAGACGCAAATGACGATATAAAATTGAAAGAAGAGCCGCATAATTATTGCCTACCGAATAGTTGCTGAACACTTGAAAGTGTACAAATTTAGTAAATAGTTGTCGTGCAACGCTTTGGGTAGCGATCGATTTCTCCAGCGGACTAAAAGCGCCGATTGAAAGATCCGTTTCAAGGATAGGGGCCAAGTGGAGCTCGTGCGCAGCACGTCGTATAGATATACGCTGATTTGCAAAGAGCTTATAATGGATCGGCGTCACGCTAATTGGGCGAAAGGAGCGAGTCGAAATTACTTAGGCGCGTGCTCGAAAGAAATCGTGACGGGATGTGTAAAATGAGGTTTGTTAGCGTGCGCCGGGTGTCACGAGATTACTATGTTTCCTGGTGTGTGTCGGGACACGGTTTCTATAACGTTTAGATGGATCGCGGGAGTAGGCCCGGGCACAATGGAAACGACAGAGTCGCGCGGGTGCCGCGGCGAGAGCAAATTAAACGAGATTTACAGCGGGTGCACGATCTCGTCCTATTAACCCTGGACGTGCTTATGCATTCGATGAAATACGGCTGTACGTAGGCATCGGCACCGTGAATGAGTGTTCGCGTTATCCTGCCGCTCTCGACCGATTGTTAAGTGATAATAAAGCCAATCTTTGTATTCCGCGGTGTAATATTGTGATACAAGTTTGTACGCGCTTCCGCGTTCCCGCTTACACCGAACGTCTTCATGCCGACGAACCTACCCGAGTCCAAGTTTTGGTACTATTTTGACACTTTTAGGGATAATTTACACATACTCGGCTTATCTATACACCTACATACACCAGCAATAACCTACTTTGATGACACTATATTTTTTTACTCCTCCCTCGAATCTTTAATTTAAAATTGTCTGTAGATTCTACACGAAGTTCTCATTCGAAATAAACGTCAGACGATTTACGGTTCGCGAGGGAAAATTTCCTCGATCAGAAATTACTAGAGACACCAGCTAGGGGACATAAAATATTATTCTTGCATTATCCATCCGACTTGTTTAGCATGCATCGTGCTGTGCCGGCGGCAATATCAATTATCAATTAATCATCAACTTTTATCACGCGCTCGTCTTAATGACGCCGTATCCAGCCTTTAACTTTAACGCCCCCTCTCCTCGGCCCTCGTTCCCTCGGTCGTCTTTACGCAATCCAGACACGCCCGTCCAAGTAGGGGGACGCAACAGGTGAATAATAATACTTACTAAGAAGCGTTCTTTATCCTTTGCAACGTGAGAAGAGCCGCGGAAGGGGACATGTAGACGGAGTCGGGTGGCTCCATCATGCAGACCGACATGTCCCTCTCCCGGTCCCTCTCCCTGTCCCTTTGCCTGTCCCTGTCGCGTTCCCTCTCTCGGTCCCGCGCCTCTCTCTCCCTGGTCGCGGGATCCCTCTCGTTCTCGCCGCTCCTCTCCCGCATCCTCTCGCGCTCCCGGTTTCTCTCCCGGCTGCGATCACGATCGTGATCTCTGTCCCATGCTGTTTCGACCAACGGTGGCAGAGACGGGGACGCTGCAAAAGAAACATATTTCCTCCATTTATCCCTGCTCGCTACCTCGCCGTCGAAAAATAAAGATTTCCGTAATTATAACAATAATAACTTTATTGCGCGCGTCCAAGATTGCTTTATGATAAATCGGATAATTACACGGAGCATGAATGAAAAGGATATGCGCGCGAGAGGTGAGGCACCAGCCAAGTCGCTGCTACAATGCCTATCCGTAATAAAACACGATGATCAGAGCGCGAGATGGATAAAACGTGAAATACGTAAGAGCGTAAATAGAACTGAAATTAATTGTACTTGGTTTCGACACACGTTACAGAGCTTTAAATCGCGGTACGAGTCGTACCTCAACATCTATAAAGAAATTACCCATTCGAGAGAGCTCGTAGCCGCGGAAACTCACGTATGATTAATGCGAACGGGATTGTACAAGGGAGACCGCCCGATTTAACGGAAAGCACAATTCACCGAATACACGAGGGCGATGTTAATATTCATTTTGCCAAAGGGCCGGATTACGTCCCGAAGGGATGTTCCGAGGGGTGAACCGCTTAGGGCATTGTGGCGTACAGATTTGCGGCATTACTGGGCATAACCAGGCATTTTTGGGCACTAGTTTGGGCATTAGGCCTTGCCATTGTAAAGATAAAATAAGATAATAAGATAAAGTAATGCCCACTGGGCATTAGTGGGCATTGGTGTACAAGGTTTTGGTCAGCGGTTTCCCCCTCGGGACGTTCCGAGGGGTAAACCGCTGAGGGCATTGTGGTGTACAGATTTGCAGCATTACTGGGCATTACTAGGCTTTTTTGGGGCATTAGTTTGGGTACTAGGCCTTGCTGGGGCATTGTAAAGGTAAAATAAGATAATAAGATGAAGTAATGCCCACTGGGCATTAGCGGGCATTGGTGTACAAGATTTTGGTCAGTGGTTTCCCCCTCGGGATGTTCCTATTTAAAGAGAGAGAGAAGCCGTCTCGCCGCAGATTGGAAACCTATTTCCCGAGAACCGGTATCACCTACCGGCTAACTGATTACGGTATTTTACATAATTACGCGGTATCCCTCGCACCTTGTAAGGAGCGTGCCGTGCACCGAGTAATGGCCACTATCGCTGCTCAAAAGTAAAGTCGCGGATCACGACGCTCCGAGAGGCTGCTGAACGCAAGCGGAATAATGGGAGCAACGATTGACGTGCGGCTGCTTTTTCATATGCGATATCTACACGTTTGCCGTGTTTATGCGAACGTGCCGTGGCACGTCACGGTACCGTGCCCTCGATCCATCAGCGATCGAGGATCGAAGGTCGATGTCAGGCGAGCACGATGCGGCTCATGCAACCTTTCGCGAATAAATCAACCGAGTGAAGAAAGCGCAAGCGTTCCTTTGCGCTCGAGATCCCCAATCCCACGCGACGGTGTGTTACAAATCGCTTTATAATCTCTCTCTCTCTCTCTCTTTCTCTTTTTTTTTACAGAACCGCGTACGAGAAATCGGACCGACCGAAGCGGTCGCGGGGTTTTTCCGCGAAATTTCGTGATTATCGCGAAACGCTTCCACGTAAAACTTGGGCGTAGAAAAAAAATGAGCAGTTTATCGCCGCGTTACATGGCACGGCATTGCAATTTGCCTCGCCATTTAGAGAGTTTTGACGACCCCTGACCCGTCGACATCGCGACCGGTCAGCGTTGAATCGGGCCGCTGCATCTTGCAGCACGTTCTGCGATTTGTATGACAAGCATATTAAATGGCCGTGACATTACTAATTAGTAGTTGCATTAGCTAGGCAATACATTCGCGAGATCGAACGAAAAGGTGCGGCGTCTTTGCGAGATTGCTGTCGATCGCACTGCCGATAATATTTTGACCGTGCACGCCTTTCGTTCGACCGCGGAAGAAAGTTGGCCTCATTCGCCGTCCTTCGTAATCGATGTAAAGCTGTAATTTGCAAGCTCATTTCGTCACGGGACGACAATGTATTCATATGAACATGCGATTATAAATATCGTGCAATTTGATTACGCAAACTCACCGAGCTTGTACTTGCTATGAGAAAAAGTCTTTTTGATTCGTTCGATGCACATAAAATTGGGATAATTGTACCGTTTAAGAATTAACAGAGTAAATTATTTGTCATTACTGATATAACCGACTCCATCGATTATCCGTGCTTGCCGCGGCAGAAATCGCTCTCGAGGAAGCCGAGCGTCTGCGAATCGTATCGAGGAATCATTATGAATTCAGTCAGTCAGGCCACGACATAACAGCGCAGTAACGGCGGTATTATTAGCCGCAATTTCCGTGCGCCGGACGGGGCGGCTTCGCTTAATTAGCCGCTGCTTCGGACACTTTTTCCCTTCCCGCCTCCGAGGTCTCGTTCCGGATGTCTCGTTACGGCCTTAACTCTTCTCATGGTTCTAGTCGAGACCCATGATCGTCGCTATCTAATGGAGCACGCAGTCGCCACTAGGACCGGTGATTTCCTTCGAAGGCTTCGAATCTTCGAAGTTACCACAAGTAACACCCCTAGTCGCCACTACTGGAAACGATCCGAGCCTGTCAATGTCTCGCGTTTCACCCTAATTCCGCTTCTTCCTCGTTCCGTTTTTCCCGTCTAACTATAATGCAATTTCCGATGTCAAAATATAATATGACTGACGTATGGGACGACGCGGTCGCTGAATTATGCGTCTAAAAAGGGGCTCACTTCCGCTAAGGAGTCGAAAGATCGAGATAGAATTCGCGTATAGACAGTCTGGCTCTTTCAAGTAACTCAGCATTAATAATACGCTATCTCTTTCCACTTGGCGCTATTTATAATATATGCATGGCAGGAAAGAATTTTATGTGCCAGTTAAAAACCTAATTCACTTTAATTGTTATAAATTCGCTCATAAACTCGAGCGCAGCCGTGGCTCGAATTCTATATGACATTACAGCTTAAATCAATTTAAGACTAATGATGTTACCGTTAAATATTAGTTACCTATATCCGCGTGTACATTTAGAAACCGCCCTTCCTTAACTTATAGACGGGGAGAATTTTCTCTTAAACTCTATTCTGAAAATCATGCGATCGCCCGAGTCGAAATTTTGGTACCATTTTGACACTTTTAAGGATGAAGGACACCATCCAATGAAGAATTATATAATTTAATTATTTGGGTATCTTTTATTAGAAAAAAACATGTTTATCTCTTCCCCCCCCCAGGTATCTTCTATACAAAAGTATTCTCCCCGTGTAAATTATATCAAATTGCAATGTTTTATTGGCGAGAAAATCCCCTTGGCGCAGTATCCTCGCCACTGTCTCCAAAATTATGTTAATTGCTGCGAATCTCGGAGCGCGTTTTGTAAACATCTTCTTCCGCTGCTCGATTATCATACCAATGGCGAAACCATCCCTTTCGCGTTCGCTATATCATCGCCTCGCCCACACCAGCGGCAAGGTTAATCCTAAGCATTAGCGGTAATAATACGTGGTCTTAGCATGTTTCGCCTTTCTGCTCGTTTCACCTTCGTCTTCCCCCCGCTCGTTTCCACCCGCGCGGTCCTTTACCCCCTCGATCTTCTTCATAGTTTTTTTTTCCTTCGCGTACAGGCATCCGAGACCTTCGCGCGCGCGCGCGCGCGCGCGCGCGAGGAAACGTCAGGGGGTAATTGATAATGTTAAACGCCGGGGTTAATCCGCCGATTTATGGGCAGAATGTGCACCGTGGATTTTTTAGAATCCGCCAAATTGAGGGATAATCGCCCGACGTTAATGCCTCGCTGCTAAAGATCGCCGCGCGAAGCCGGGGTTGTTTGATTGAGAGAGATAAGTGGGAGTTCGTGGAGGTTTATAGCGGCTCGCGTGTCCGGTGGCGAATAAAAGAGGCCCCGCTAATCCGCCAAGAAAAAGAGAGGGGGGGGAGAGGGGGCTGCCTTGAATCGACTGAGAGAATCGATCTCGCGTTAGCTGCGGGCGCGCGGGCGTTGAAGATAAAGCGCTTACCGCGTGACCCGGAGCCAAAGGTAGTCACTCGTTGTAGGATCCCGCGTTCGCGGCGATGCAAGTTTTACCCCGCGACTTTTTAATCGCGCATGTTAATCCGCGACGATAACTTGTGGGCACATTTAGATAAATATTGCCGTAACGGGTATAAGAGTGTAATAGGGATGGAAATGCTAAGACTAGCAGCACAGATAAAATAAAATTAAAAAGGAAGGGATAGAGAGAGAGAGAGATTGAACATGACATCGCGCTCGAAAGACGCTCGTTCGTCGTCGAAGCATGAACAAGATGACTTGAAACGTGTCTGTGTCACATTTACGAGCGAACGATCGGCGCGATTCCCGTTTACTCCGCGCTCCGCGCGCGGCAACGTCTATTATCGCGCATCGTATAATCCAGCGGGTGGGCGCATTAGCCGCGCGGAAATATGCGCGAGTGCTCGCGTGCGCGTGCACAGGATGGAAGGTGGGTGGACATGCCACCCGCGTCGCGGAACTTGTTAGGCTTTATGTGTTTTCAATTAAGTTTCCGGGCCCGCGTTCGCGCAGATTAGCGCGGGCGGCTGTGCTCGGGTCGATTAATCGTCGAGTATTATCTCCCCCCCCCTCTCCCTTCCTCCCCCGCCGTGTGCTGCGGACGCCAGTACGACGTTTAGAAAATTTATCGATGGCGGTTCGTTGTACAAAGCACCGGTTATCCATCAGGTGCGAAGATAACGCGCGCGATAACGCTTAAACGTTATTCACGCCGAGTGCCGTAAGTCCATTCGTATAGAGCGTTCGCAGCTCGAAAGGGATCCTATAGAGTCTACAGTATAGACCATCCTGTGGACTTTCACGCCGATATTTGTGTTTTATAGAGAGAGAGAGAGAGAAAAAAAGAAACCTACTTCGGCCGGAACAATCGCAGACACCAACGATGATGGGTGTACTTGGTGGTTCATATACGTTTTATAAATATAATTCTTAAATGTATTTAATTATCACCTTATACATTTGGAAAACGTACGAAAAACCAAGTTCTACTTGGGTGCGGAAATATTTAGAAGATAAAAATTGTAGTTAAAATT